GGGACCAAGAGGCCGAGGACAGACCATGGACGACTCGCATTGGGTGCATGGAAGAGCAAGAGTTTACATTGGTCATGGGTGATGAAAGCATTGACAAGAGTCAAGGCTAAGGTTGTGAAGGGGACCGTGACGCCTAAGAGGGGGGGGTAAATTAGGCAACTTAAAAATTTACTTCTAAACTATGGCCTCTTTTTCTAACCTTAGCAAAACCTATGCAAAAGATAAACTATCTAAAAGTGCAACTACGGTTTTGCTAGTGTGTTGCTATCTCTACCGCAAAAGGAGTAATACAATTAATGTCAATGCGGAAGCTAAAGAGCAAGGTAGAGATACACAAACTCCCATCGACGACTCCAGTATTTTTATTGAGGTATCGAGAAGCGCGCAAGCTTCTCCCTAGTCCTCGTTGGAGCCCCTCGTAAGGAATCCCTTGCAAGGGCCAAGCTCCCGGTCGGGTAACTCCATGGATAGCCTCGGGCCTTCCCCACGCGCAAGTGGGTCTCCGACGTGCCTTCCGGCAAGCCTCTCCTGGATGCTCCCCGCCGTCTTCACTATCAAGCTTCCGGCCGAAACGCCACGGGCCTTGTTCCCTCCGGTACACGGTGGTGGCCACACCACAAACGCAGTTGGTGTGATCTCTCAAGACTACAAGCCCCTCTGATGTACAACAATGGTGCGCGCAAGCACCGAGTGGTAAGAGGTATGCAAACCTCACTAAACACTAGGCCTAAACCTAGAGCAAGCGCATAAGCGGTGGTCTAATCAACCAAAGCACTTCGCAAAGCACCTACGCTAATCACCTAATGAAACACTAAGCACTATGCAAGTGGAGATCACTAAAATGGTGTATCAACACCCTTCATATATTTCCTCAGCTCCACACACGCTAAATGGCCGGTTGGGGGGTCTATTTATAAGCCCCATAGAGAAAGTAGCCATTGGGGACGAAATCCCGCTTTTCTGCTACTGACCAGACGCTAAAATCGTCCCGACCGTTGGAGCCGCAAACACTTGATCGGACGCTGCCAGCGTCCGGTCACCTACCACCGGACACATCCGGTCGCAGTTTCGCCGCTCTGGAACCTACCTCTCTATACTCGATCAGACGCTGCTTCCCTGCGTCCGGTCGGTTTGCCACCAGCATCCGGTCCTAGCGTCCGGTCGCTGCTGCTGACGCTAGTTTGCCGAGCCTCTTCACCGGTGCGTCCGGTCCAGCATCCGGTCGCTTCTGCGAGCTCGTTTCTTCACGATCTTGCATACGGCTTGGTTCCTATCTTCGTGCTTGGACTTTGCTTGATGTCTTGGGTCTTCTCTTGAGCTTCTAAGGTCTTGCTTAAGGTGTTGATCATCGGATCATCACGTCGCCTTCGTCCAAGTCACGTCTTGCATCCTATTGAACTACAAAACAATCACTTGCACGTTCATTAGTCTAATTTGGTTGTGTTGGTCATCAAACACCAAAATCCAAAGTAAATGGGCCAAGGGTCCATTTTCCTTACAATCTTCCCCTTTTTGGTGATCGATGACAACACGACCAAAGCAAGCAAATAATAAAATTTTGAAATTTAAAAACTACCTACTTGCTAGGATGCAATGCAAGGGGCAAGATTATATGATGCTAAAAGATATTACTTGTAAGACTAAAAGATACTACATTAAAACTTATCTTGCCCTTGCAAATGTCCCCATGTGGTATTATGGATTTAAGCCTTGTTTCCTACAAATTCTCTCCATTCCATAATCCACTATCCTCCCTTTCTCGGACCATTACTATAAATCAATGCTTGCATTTGATCCTCTAAATTCTCCCTCTTTGGAATCAAACACCAAAAAGGAAGACATTAGTAGCACAAGGGAGGGTCATACTTTGTGAACCTTTGTATATAGAGTGGATTAGGTCACAAATTTTGACTCTCACATTATATAGTTTAAGCTCCCCCTAAACATATGCATACATATGATAGAAAGACAAAGTAACTCCGTGGATAGCCTCGGGCCTTCCCCACGTGCAAGTGGGTCTCCGACGTGCCTTCCGGCAAGCCTCTCCTGGATGCTCCCCGCCGTCTTCACTATCAAGCTTCCGGCAGAAACGCCACGGGCCTTGTTACCTCCGGTACACGGTGGTGGCCACACCACAAACGCAGTTGGTGTGATCTCTCAAGACTATAAGCCCCTCTGATGTACAACAATGGTGCGTGCAAGCACCGAGTGGTAAGAGGTATGCAAACCTCACTAAACACTAGGCCTAAACCTAGAGCAAGCGCATAAGCGGTGGTCTAATCAACCAAAGCACTTCGCAAAGCACCTACGCTAATCACCTATTGAAACACTAAGCACTATGCAAGTGGAGATCACTAAAATGGTGTATCAACACCCTTCATATATTTCCTCAGCTCCACACACGCTAAATGACCGGTTGGGGGGTCTATTTATAAGCCCCACTGAGAAAGTAGTTGACGCGTCCGGTCGTTCCGACTGTTGGAGCCGCGAACACTTGATCGGACTCTACCAGCGTCCGGTCACCTACCACCGGACGCGTCCGGTCGTAGTTTCGCCGCTCTGGAACCTCTCTGTACTCGATCGAACGCTGCTTCCCTGCATCCGGTCGGTTTGCCGCCAGCGTCCGGTCCAGCGTCCGGTCGTTGCTGCTGACGCCAGTTTGCCGAGCCTCTTCACCAGTGCGTCCGGTCCAGCATCTCGATCGCTTCTGCGAGCTCGTTTCTTCGCGATCTTGCATACGGCTTGGTTCCTATCTTCGTGCTTGGACTTTGCTTGATGTCTTGGGTCTTCTCTTGAACTTCTAAGGTCTTGCTTAAGGTGTTGATCATCGGATCATCACGTCGCCTTCATCCAAGTCACGTCTTGCATCCTATTGAACTACAAAACAATCACTTGCACGTTCATTAGTCTAATTTGGTCGTGTTGGTCATCAAACACCAAAATCCAAAGTAAATGGGCCAAGGGTCAATTTTCCTTATAGGTTGGACAAGTAAAGACGAAGTGTTGCGAATGCTTCGTGGACCGCTGGGCTACGGACATGGAGGTTAGAGACGTGACGACATCGGTGAGTCACGCATAGCGAGGTTTGCATGAGCGTTTGCCGGTTTGGTCCTCAAAATCTTCGATGGACAGTTTGGTGCTTTAGGCCTTAAAACCACCAACAACGGATTTAACCGGTTTGGGCCACAACCATCGGCGATGGATTTGACCGGTTTGGGCCTCAAAACTAGGGTGAGAAGTCAGAGAACATGTGGTGGTATCTCAAAGCTTGCGTTGAGAAGAAGCGAAATTGAGAAGGCACCGGGTTCCTTGGATCAATGAAGAAAAAGTTAGGTGGTTCTACCCCTAGGGGTATTTGGAGGATGGCTGGTTGTGAGGGACACAACTTGGAGATTTGGCTCTCATTTGCGTGGTTGATAGCTTTGCTTAGGGTTATGGAGAGAGAGAGAGAGAGAGAGAGAGAGATGCTCTTATTCTTACCTTTTTGCCATCTGAGCTTTGATTAGTGTTAGGAGTGACTTTGTAACCATACATCCTCGAGTAATCCAATGATCAACTTTGTGGCTCAATTGTTTCCTCTTTCATGATCTAAAATTTATCTTTTTCTCTATTTTGAGAGCTATGTTTTAGGGATTTTTTATCACCTGATTTGGTTGAGATTTTGGCACGTTTCATGTATGGTTTTCAGTCCTTGGAACTTGGTCATATTATGACTTGAAGCCCAACTCTCATCTCTCAAGTTCCTCTCACCAAAAACCCTCATTTCTAGCCTCTTGAAGATCTTTGTTCTGAGGTTCTTGGAAAAATCATCGGTTTACCTTATTATCGCCATCGACTCTCACCGGTTTGCAAAACCGACAATTATAAGGGGTTACAAACCGCTTGTGATAACAATTTTGTAGTAGTGATTGTAAAAGCTAAAATAAAAGCTAGGTTGACATGCGTGGGCCTAGCAGCCTCAAGGAGAGGGGGCCAACGTCCTTTCTAAGCGCTTCTAAATGGATGTCTTGGCACTGGCACGTCCGGTGCAAGACAAGGAGACGCCACGAGTTATCTCAACTGGAAGGAAATAGAAAGGTAAAGTTTCAATGAATTGTGACACACAGGAGCAGTAAAGCCGGCTATGGCACCCCATAGTCGTCACGTGTCCTGACTAGATCCCTCTCGAACATGTGTGGGGTTTCTTCGCTGACGCTGCTATCTTGCGTATCGCGCTTTCACTGAGATTTCTTCGCTGACGCTGCATATTGCGCTCGACGTCAGAGGCACATGGTGACATGTTCGAACAAATAAATCAAACACAAGAATAATAAACTAGTTTAGCATGCGTGAAGGCATACACATGACTAAAGATTGTAGGAACCTGGTTTTGTCTTTTGACATCTCGACAGTGTCCACGGTGGTAAGAAAATCAAGGTCGGACAGAGAGGGAGGAACCAGCATGGACGCTGTCTCATCAAAATTTAAAGTGACAGCAGAATATAATCTTGTAAAAAGAAAGATCGAGACAACGATGGCTCCGTGTTCCGAAACCTGGGAGAAAGCTTGTTAACCATTGTGAATGAGATGTCAGGTGTAAACCGTCTCGTGATACAATGAAAGCGTAGAATATTTGGCTCATCACGCCAGAATGGCAAGAATATGTAGTAGTACAAAGATACAGCACAAAGGTAAACTATCCTGGAGATTACAATCAAGTTTCCATAGTTGTTACGCCGATCCATTCCGCTAATCAGGGCGACGATCCAGTCTTGGGCACGGTTACTGCCGGATGGGCGCACGCGTCGTGTACCGCATCTGGCAGGCACGCTACCTGTCTAACATCGATGTCGATCAATCAATTCTTCTTCATTATAATCCGGTTAGACAGTTGTGCCTCATGTCTGAACTCTTTGTCATGCCCTATGACCATCATATAGTCAGTTATGTGTGTATCCCTTTAACTTGGCTAGTCAAGTGAAGCAATCGTCTGATTAAGGCACCAAGTTGACGTCGTCTTCCTACTTCGCAGCTTCACTACCCTTTGAACCAGCTGGAGCAGCGGCACTTTTCTCAAGAGTCCTTGTTGTGGCATTTTCAGCTCCAGACGGCTCAGACTGTCCCTTGCGCCTGGGTGTCCTTGATGTCATCTTGATGGCATCATCTTTTTGCGGTGCCTTTTCTTTTGTTGAACCGCTGTTGGATTCTGAATCCGCATCAGGAAGCAAAGCTCGAGAACTTAGCCGAAGTTGACCCTTATCATTTATCTAGTTCAGACGATCAAGGAAACAGAATTCAGAGAAAGGCATCATATCATGTGGTTGGAGAACTTGATGGATGGTATTTCTAGAGGTGGGAATTATAGAAATAGCAGTTTTGCACTATAAACGCCTTGAGCACAGACGCATGTTGAACTTAAAAATAGCTACCAACCTCAATAAGCTTGACGTCTATGCGATCTCCGACTTTAAAAGCCTGCAACAAATGCAGTGGATTGAATTACTTAAACAAGGGGTATAAATCTAAGCAAATGAAACAAATTCATGACATTTTCTCACATCCTCAGCCTTGGCCAACCAGCCCGAACTTAACTCACTGATATGACATAAACCCTGCATATTGAGTTACAAGCAATGGGTTATGGCTGAAAATAATATCAAAATTAAACTGGAAGGTGTTTTTCATGAGAACTTCCTTTTCTATTGCACCGAAGCCCAATAAGGACATGCGATTTTGCCACTAAGAAGTGCTTTCCTTCTCTGAATTATATACAGGTGAAGAATATGTGAAACTAAAGTAAATTTTAATATCTGCTCACCTCACGCCCTGGAGCAATTTCAACAAAAGCGCCATATGGAGCTATTGACTTGATCTCACAATTCCTGTTAAAATGAGTTCCCAAGAAAAGGGTATTGATTAGAAACCCAAAAGATTGGTTACAAGAAAGCAAGCAGGGTAATTAATTAAACAAGAAAGAAGAGATAATATACTTTGAGAAGAATACAAAACATCCAAGGGGATAAAAGTTGATACCTGTATATTTCTCCAACTTTTGGAACCATGGTAAGGTTAGCTATTATAGTTTTTGACTTCTCTAAGCTTGATAGGTCTCTTGCAGTAATTTTTACCTGCAAAAGGCATTTGTCAACAGTACTTTAGTAAGGCTAAATGGCAAGTATCACCAAGTTCTCCGTACCGTGCCATCGTCTCCAGTATCAATAGCATCTACTCCAGTCTCCTCAATTATGCTTTTTATTGTCTTTCCACCAGAACCAATTATTAAATTCACCTTGTTAGGTTTGACCTTGAAACATTGTAATAAAACATGTTAGAAAGATATAGTTGGAAGAAAACATATATAGCATATACACATCATGAACAAAGTACCAACCTTCATAACATGAATTAAGGGAGCATATGGAGATAGTGCTTTTGATGGTGGAGGTGAAGATTTCGACATTTCATCTGAGGAGAAGCAAAATGTAACATCAGATCAGATGGGGTGGGGGGGGAGGGGGGGGGTGATGGAATAAAAACATGCACAAAATGACAGTTTCAGCATAAGAGCGTTCTGTACAATAGACAGGAGAAAGTTATTAGTGTTGACCATCCAAGGAGAACTTTAATATTAAGGAAAGTTCCGACCATCTTGTGACATAATCTTTCAGAGGTGACATTAGCACCCACAAATTTAGGGACCTTCATGAGAATCGGTGCCAGAACAAACATGATTTACCAGCACAAAAGAAAGCAGCTATGCATAAGTCGACATCCTTTTTTTTGCATTTTCTATACTAATGCCAAACACTGGATGCAGCATTACTAATGGCAAACAAGTATTAGGCCAAAGTTTTTTTTTTCATACAATGCTGAAAGGGTTTGAAAATGAGCGCAGAACAGAATTCCAGCAGTTGTTATGTTTTTATATTCCTTCCTTTTTATTTTAACTTAAAGCTTGATTGTGATGTACTCCTCAATTCCAAATTATAAGACGTTTTAGTTTTTGCTATGCACTTAGATATACACAACGTCTAGATACATAGTAAAAGCAATGTATTTAGAAAAACCAAAACGTCTTATAATTTGGAACGGAGGGAGTATATCAAAAGTTTGTAGATAGCTGGGGTAAGGAAATTAGCATGTAAATGGAAATAGCTAATTTAGCACAGGCTTACTCAGAATATACTGTCTCCCGTCCCTAGCTTGAAGGAGTGCTTGCTCCATCACAGGTAGAGTTATCCCGACTACCTGCCACAATGCAAGAACCAGACAGATTTAACCATTGTAGCAAAGCCTCCTAATAGCAAAAATACATAACAGATACTTCCAAACCTATATAGTCATTACAACCTTAATGTCCATCTGAAATGCAGATATGCCACTTTCATTACCAGCAATCTGCAACAAGAGCTTACAGATAAGAAAACCGAGCTTTCAGCAGAACAACGTATACTAACCTTGCTAATGCAGTTCCAAGTACCAAATGCAGAATGAAATACAAGTCACACCTTCAAATCCATGTCACCAGAGGCATCTTCAGCTCCAGTAATATCAGAAAGTATAAGTGGCCTACCATCTCCACCAAATTCCTGTGTATCAAGGACCAGGCCCATTGCAATTCCAGCAACAGGAAACTTTATAGGAACCCCAGCATCTTGAAGTGCTAAACAACCTCCACAAACAGAAGCCATGCTGGTGACATATCACAGAAAAAGTATTAGCAATTGAGGAGTAATCAAACGCTTAAATCTTTTTTTTTTGAAAGAAATGGCAGGAGCTCTGCCTTTCAATTAAGATAGGAAAAGAGGTGTTTATATACAAGCAGCAAGTACATGCCCTCTAGTGGCCAAAACCAGTAAGGAACCCCTCCTCAAAGCAATGTAGCAGCCCCTACATGAATGCTCTCATTCTTTGCTCTATATCTTCTTTGATTACAAACGCTTAATTCTCTACTGTAGTCTGTAGAACCCAGAGAAATGGTTGATTGCTAACTGTATCAGAAATATTGAGTATAAGTTCAAGTACAGCTGGACTAAGGACGTTTATTTTGGGTCACCAAACGCAGGAATGTTAATTTTTGCACCTGACCTACTAGCAAATGTCTAAACTGAACTCCCCAGGAGGCAACAAACGTAAAATAAAAGGCTGTGTCAACAAATAGTTCAGCAAATTGAAAGAACCATTGCAAGAAAGACAAACAAACTTATACAAGCTAGCAAACAAAAAAAAATGTTAAGCACAAGAATAGTATTACCTGGACGAACCATTACTTTCAGTGATAGTACTCTCGACACGAATAGTGTACGGAAAATCCTCTTCCGGAGGTAAAATTGGCTCCAGTGCCCTTTCTGCAAGCATCCCATGTCCAATCTCTCTCCGGCTAGGTGCTCCAATTCGACCAACTTCGCCAACACATGATGGAGGAAATGAGTACTGCAGAATGTCACAGAAATTAGTTATCAATGCAGGGTAATCTTGCAGTCTACCTGTGTTGATAACAAAACTCCAAGCTAGAATGGAAAACTATTTTGGACCACTTCACAGGTTAGCAATGAAAATAGTAAGCATACAGCCTTCAAAAAGAACATCACAAAGTGGTACTCAGAGGACAGAACAGAGCTTGGGTAGATACTCATGTACACCCTGATCAACAATAAAATCTCAATGACACAACTAAAATACAAAACATCACAACTCATGTTTACTTGCAATCTACAATGAATTAGCTCAGATTCAATGCCATCAGTGAAAATCGTCACAGCAATAAAGCAGGATATAATCCTGTCAACTGTACATACCACATGTCTCCCTTTACATAACAAATCTAAAAAGGGGGCAATACGTGCTACCCATTCTATTTTCACATAGTTTGTTCAGAAATATGGATCTGAAAATCCCCCCCCTAAAAAAGGATAAGATTTTGCAATGAATAGAACAATCTAAATAAGCATGATGCACAAGAAACATAGTAAGTAGGAAACTAGGAATTGACCTAGCATTGTGATGTATCGTTCAATCAGCAAAGGTGTTTCACTTACCTGAAGATAGAAGCTTTTTGAATCCTCCGTATCAACAAGGTTGTCAATTCGTTGTGCCATCTGATAGCCACCTAAAGTGACCACAGCCAGTGACTGTATGGTCGGACAAAAGAAAGAAAGAAAGAAGTGAAAACAAAATAATAAGATAGCAAACCTAATATGCATTTGACTCTAGCTGAAACAAACTATAAATAAACCAGCAGAAAGTAATAATGTTTTAAAAATACAGGTAATGGTTGTGCTATGTATTATTTAGAAATGAACTCCACAACAAAATACATCAAATTAAGTTTTGTAAGAGTTAATGTTTAAAGTAATAAAGCAGGATTCTTACAAATAAAGGTGGGATGGATATAAATAGAATGTGCACATAAATTTCTGTAAACATCATCAGGTACTGAACAGATCAGCAAGATACTAACAGCAGCATATGACAAATAAAACTATAAGACATGTCATACTATGCCAATCAGAAACGACAGATACAACAGAATCTCAAATGAGGTGTATTACCTCACCTGTGTTTCTCCCCTCGTGAACAGAGCACTACCATGAGCTCTTGGGAAGTAAACCACATTGAGAATTAATGGGTCGAAGTTCCCAAGGACTCCGTCCATCACTTCGCTTTCCTCCCTGAAATTTGAGGTGTTGATATTCCATACAAAAATTTCCATATTAAATCACATAAAAGTCCCAAGGAACCGTGATTACCAAACAGAATGTGTAGCTCACTAGGAAATTCAATAATCAGAGTCACAATAGAAGAACAAAGCCATGTATGGCAGGCATTGGCACACATACACAAGGCTACATTGTGAGAGGACCCCTATTCTGAACTGTCCCTATTTGTTTCATTAATAACATGTTTCGGCGTAGCAGAATTTTCTCCTAAATTGGCAACTACATATTTGTTTTCACTCTTCTTTTGGATGACCAGTGGGAGTTAATACCTGTCACACTGGCTTCCTGTTGCTGGGCTACAATGTTACATTCTACAGAAAGAGTTCAAAGGGACCTTTGAAAACACAATGCGCATATAGGAAGAAACTCAGATCCTTTGTAGTAAGAACTAGAAAGTACATATGATCTTTGATTGTTTTTACACAGGCGTAACCAAATATGTATGCTCAATAAATGCAGACACTGAAAATCCATGATAACTCAAGATAGATATTATCAAGACTGCAATGACCACAACAGTGCAATTCAGAAGTCAAGTATGGGCATGAAAGCTAGATCTCTAACCAGTTTTTTAGCAGGAAAAAAAAACTAGCAAGTTGACACAATAGAAAGAAGGAAGCATCCTGCTATTGATCACATAAGCAAGGGAAAAAACCTTTAGGTGACAAGTGCAATCAATACCTCTACAATGCGCCTTCGTAAATATTTAGATGAAACTTCCTTGAAGACTAGCTTGACATCAACTTCTGCAAATAGCTATATAGAAGAAAAATACTTGGAAATCAGTATAAAATGTTATCTGCTTAATAAGCAAGGTGGTAGATTAAAATTGTCAAGCAAAGCAGAAAAATGGGGTGGGGGTGGGGGTGGGGGGCGAGGTCTACTTGTCAAGAAATCTTAGAAAAGTTAAGGAAAAGAAATTTTACAAGACAAAAGCACAGACCTAGCTATAAAGCCTATAAGATAATATATCTGATCTTTTATAAAAGCATAAAAATCACCACATCGTCATCAACTACAATACAATAACCATCACCTGAGGAGGGGGCTTCCTTGAAACCGGCTTGATGTGAACATCACCTTCATCTACTTCTCCATCAACTATAATTTCATCCTCATCCTCATCCTCAACAATATCAGCCAAACTTTCAGTGACTCCAGATGAGCCATCTTTGGAAACATAACCCTGTTCAGAAAGTATACTTATAACTTTGTCCTCCAATGCTGAAAGAGCTTTTCTTCTGGGAATCTTTCCTTTTATTTGTAATGCCTTCACCAACTCATCTCCAGAAATATCCTGAACAACATTAACAGCTGAAATCAGCAACCGGGGGTAATGGCAACAGGCAAATGCATGCTTGAAAAGGAAAAGGATATTGTATAACTACCAGCATATATTTTGAATTTAAAAGTTACAAAAGTGAAGAAGTTACAATCGATGATTAAATAAGGAAATGATCAGCAGGATTCAATAAATCTTTTATATGATTGACAAGACTGTGACTACCCAAGTGGCTACTGAACAAGCACATTAAGCAAATGAAAACGATATTACGATAAGCATATAAGAACTAAGGAAAACGGGAGGACAGGAAACAGCATTCTAGTCAGCCAGTTCAGGTATTGTTTAGCCTTCAAACAAGCATATTAGGTACTATATAAAGTTAAAAGATTGTATTTGGTAAAATAGGGAGCTGTAGTATGTTCATACTTCAACATGCCTGTAGAGTTCAGGAGGCGGTAGGCTGATAGCATCGACCATTTTCTTCTTCCCACAGCTCTGGACGAGAACATCAATTGCTTTGCAGATTTCTCTAATTGCCACCTGATTTCTATATTACGTCAGAATCACAAAAAAGGGATAGACCAGGACAGAAGTTTTGTTTCAGAAGTTCAGATGTACAGAGCTAGCATTTATGTAAGAACGGAAGCAGATAATATGTCTTCTAAAGGGAGGTCTATAAATGACACAAGCTCTGGATCTTGCAGGTTCTGGAAACAAAAATGGGGAAAAAACATATGCATTTTTGGCTTACTTGTACTGAGTAGTGAGTAGTGAGAGAGGTAATATAACAGCTCAGAAAGTTACAAATTATAAAGAACTCAAAGCTCCATGGTTAAGAGAAACTAGAAAGCAATGATAAACAAAATGGGGAAACAAATAAATCTATTATTTGCTCAAAAGCTTGAGTACATTATGGAGCAATATATTCTATCTAAAAGTGTATCTTATTGATAATCTTATAAGCTCACCTGCCCAGCTTCCACAGCTTCAAGCAGCTTCTCCTCAGTCAGAAAATCACAGTAACCCTACCAAAGACTAGTCAGGAATCAAAAGATAACCTCAACTATAAGATTTATGAGTCCTATGAAAGTAATCAAGATAAGTGAGCTAATTTAAGGACTGGCAACTTGGTTTAGCACATGAGCCTAAAGCATAACTGTTTTACAATAAAATATAAAAGGCAGAGTAACAATGTAAAGCAAACTTAAAACATACCACTAAAAAAAATTGAGGACTTAAGTATATGTTGCCAAATGCAAGAATTATATGCACAGATTTGTTTTAACATCTGAAAAAAATTCTGGGAATATGGTGAAGCATTCAAGCATGTATGCAAGCAAAGCTTCACACTAACCTCAATCATCAAAATGGCACTATCAGTCCCAGCCATCATCAAATCTAACTCTGAATTCTCCATCTGTTCAGTAGTTGGGTTAACAACAAACTGGTCATTAATCAGGCCAATTCTTACTCCAGCAATTATTTGTTCATTTGGAATTTCAGAGAGGGCCCTGTAGTGAAAATTAAGATAATAAGAGTATCTTTGAGATAAAGAATGTAATCTCGCAAAAAAAAACATCATATTGAAATATTTTTTATTAAACCTACACGGCTATACCAGCAGCTGTGATAGCCAAGCAGTCTGGGGAGTGAATGCCATCATAACTGAAGACCTATAATAGTCAAGGTTATCTCATCATATGGAGTAATTGATGGGGGTCATCAAGAAACAAAAACCAAAGAAAAAGGTAGAATAACAAAATATGATCTTCAAATCTGGCCCATCAGCCACAAAGATGTCGAGAGAAAAAGTGGCCAACCATAGCATTTTTTGCTAGGTGGGCATTCATATTTCTTTTGTTTGTTGCCAAAGTGAATTATTAACAGGTGGCGAACATAAATCTCTTGATGAGGGAACGAAACAATTTTGCTGGCAGTAGCTTCTATGAAAAGGCTCTGTATAGAGCATCTTGCAGCCATCTATGAAGATTGCTGGTAAGAATTATACAATATACATCATGTCAGTTTCAAAATAAGAACACTAGCCTTGCAGTTTGCAGTATTGGTATGTGATTCTGCATTGTATTTTGTGTAGGTCCATACAAAAAAGAGAAACTGGTTAGAGCACCAACGGTTAAATAAGTTGGTATATGTCAGCTACAACCGGAAGATGGAAAACAGATTTTAAAAAATTAGAGAGCTGGGTTCCAAAGGAAAGAGAAGCAATCCACTCTTGCTTGATGAATTTCATTGGGAAAATGAATGGGTCAATGAAAATTGTGAACCAGTTCAGAAAGGTGGTGACAATGCTATGACTTGGGCTCTTGTGGATGAAGCTATTGGTGCAACTCAGGGTCTAGAGGGACGGAACATGCCCAGGGCTGCTGCTGCTCGTGCTGCTGTTGCTGCCCCTGTGAGGCAGACGCAGACTTATGCTAGGAACAGGAAGCGTCCAAGGAAGACAGTGACTCAAGATATTGATGAAGATGACGATGAAGACCAAGATCAGCATGAATCTGATTCAGCAACAGCAATGGAGGAGGATGAAGTTTCTGCACCAACTGGAACTGGAGATGGATTCCATTTGCATGATGATTTGCTTGATTAGATGGCTAGTTGCCTACTTTTGTTGGACTATTGAATGTCAATGTTTGTGACTTTGTGTTGAACACTTTAGCTTTCTGTAATGAACTAGTTTGGTTATGTAATATGCTGGCTGTGTGGCTGCTATGGTCTGCTAAATGTTAGTTATTCGCTACTGCAGCAGTGCTGCTGTTCAGCTGTATCAAGATCAAGACTACATTAGTGTTGCTAATTATGGTCTTCTTTGGTACTCCAGGCTTCCAGCAGCAAGTCAGCAAAGAAATGGAGTTTGGGACAGGAATATGGACCTCTGGACATGGCAGAAAAGAGAAGAAAATAACTCCCACAAGTAAGTCACCAGCTAAACACTAATGTAGTCTTGATGTTTGCTTTATTGTGTATACTATATAGTATATATAGGTATATATATAGTAGGTATATGTCCTGATATACATGGACGACTATATGGACAACCAGGGTCGACTAGGCTCGACTAATCGGCCTGGTCAACGACTAATCGCGATTAGTCGCCTGGTCGGTCCCATGGCGACTAGGTTCGACTAGACGACTTGAAAACATTGGTTGATGTTATGGTTGAATTTTCTGCTTTTCCTAACAAATTTCAAATAGCAAGTATCTCAGCTTTAGAGGTTGAACTGTGAATGGGACTGCCAAGTTATGAATCCAGAATCCAAGTTACATGATGTTATACATAAATTGTCCGCTGATGAGAAAAATATCACACTATCAATATCACCCTTGTAGTATTATGAGATTACTAAAGTAAGCTTCTGCTATTTAGAGAATACTAAGACGGGTAAGTTTCTGCTATTTAGAGAATACTACGACGGGTTACAATAAAATGGGAACATATGTAACTGATGATGAGCTACTCATATAACTTTAACACACGTTGCAAGAAAAAGCTAGAACATACGACCAAACTCCCAGAGGCAACATGAATGCAAGTTAACTTCTAAAGATTACCCAGGATAGAATTTGAGTTTCATAGTAGAACCCCTTAGGCATAGTAGGTCGTAGGGGCCTGTCTATCAATCTGCAAACCAAAACCTGCGAAGGATGTAGGAAAGAAAATCTAAGCACCCAACAAACATAATAGTTGAACAAAAGTCGAAGCTCCTATAGTGAACCTCATGGTCTTTTGTCTTGCCTTCTCGTTTGAAGAAACCACCACTGGAATCAGTAAAAACATAGAATAAGGTTTCATAGATTACACAATCAAACTGAGAATGGAGTCATGGACACTGACAAAGGTGGCGAGAACAGTTTTAGGTTTCTGTACCTAGTTCTTCCAGCAGCTGAAAGGCGCTCTTGATAGTGAACCGATAAAGGGAAAAAGTCAGCAGGGTCATTTGGAGTATCCGCCAGACAGACAGAACAGTAGAGAATCTGCCAGCACATTTTGAAGTTACAGTTAGACATAAAAGGTACTGAAATTGAAATAACGAAATTAATTGCATTCAAGATGCTTCTATCCTCATCAATTAAACTGGACAACAGTGATGAGAGAAACAAAATCCGAACAGCAGCCTTGAGTTGAAATTGGTAAAAGGCCAAAATTGTGCGCAGCCTTGAGTTGAATTTGGTGAAAGGCCAAAATTGTGCTTGCAATAGGCAATACGCTGTCCTCTAGAAAGCCATTCATGTTATGGTATCCAACAGGAAGAACAGAAGAAGAATCATGGTCAAGTCATGTCAAATTTGATTGACATGCACATGAAGAGCACATAAATCAGAACAGTGGCAAATCACTGCAGCCTAGATTGTGTGAAAGTAACAAGCATGCAGATTCTGATGTTTTGACAGAATGAAATGCACTTACAGTATAACTACAAAGCCCTATTTAAATTTCGAAATAACAACTGTAAATATTCCCTCAAAACAAAACAAAATAACAACTGAAATGTGCAAATGGTGTGCTCTAAGGAGACAGTCTGAGAATATTATAACACCTACTGACAGATTAAATGGACCATCACGCACGAATGTACAATTTCTTAACAACAGGTATTAAGTGGACACTAGATTCTGACGACTTGCCGTTTCGCCATCAGTGACCATTACAGAAGCACTCGCTTGCCTCCCAATGTGGCCTGTTTCGACCAATATCTGAAATACAAAAAAACACTCCATTACTCCATTTTGTGGATGCGCTCCATTTCATGAATGCACGCGCTGTGCCATCAATCAACCAAAACCCGACAGATGAAGAGTATAATAACTTCAATGTGCTTAGGAAAATGCCATGAGCAGAACAGCCAAGCACAATGCGTGCTCTTCGCTATTGAAACCACACTCGGAATTGCACGTGAGAATCCAGCACCTACACACAAGCACAAATCGTGCGCAGCAATGCACTGTGCAGGAACACGCTACAAGGCAACAGCGCGGACGCCTCACGCTACGGAGCGGCAAGCAAAATTCGCGACGCGTGAACAGAGCGCCGCGCCACGGTTCACAGCTGAGGAAGAAAAAACAGTGATAGCTCATCGGCGGCTCACCTCGCGGTCGCCGACGGGGATCCTCACAGACAACTTGGCCGGTCCGGAACCGCTGGCCTCCTCCGCCACTGCGGCGGAGGCCCTGGCGACCCCATGCCTTGGACAGGGCGCCCTCCTCCGCGCGAGGCGCGAGCACGGGAGCGAGGCGTGGAGCGGCGGCGCGGGGAAGGCGACGTGGTGGTGGTGGAGGTGATGCGGCGGCGGCGGCGCCGGGAGGAGGAGGTGGAGCGCGGCGGGGCACGCGAGCATCTCGAGGTGGATGTGGGAGGAGGAGGAGGCGCGACGGCGTGGAACGGGAACTGGGCGGGAGACGAGAGGGTGGCGACGCGCCCACGAACCTTATCACTTTCTCGCTCTGTTTTGCCCTTCCGCCGTGTGGGGTTTTGTCAAGATTTTGCCGTCTGGCGTCTGCCTGCTGGGGTTTTGGGACGCCACCGTTCGAATTTAGGGCAGGGTTTTTCGTGATTTCTGAACATATATAGGTGCACTGTTTGGATACACTATCTTAACTCCTTTGCAGAGCAATTGTAACTCAGGCCATGTTTAGTTCATCTAAAATCCAAACTTTGACACTATGTAAAAAAAAGATTCCCCGTTACATCAAACTTGCGGTACATGTATGAAGTACTAAATGTTGACGAAATCAAAAACTAATTACACAGTTTAGTTGTACTTTGCGAGACGAACGTTTTGAGCCTAATTAGTCAACGATTGGACAATTATTACCAAATAAAAACAAAACACTACAATACGCTACAGTGCTACCAAATTCAGGCGCCGCCGAATCCGGCCGGAACTAAACACGACCTTAAAAAATACATAGACAAAAAGACTATTGAAGTTGATGTGATGTAAACACAGTGATGGGCCTTTTGCAACAACAACAAAAAAGTGATGGGCATACCGGCATAGCCCATTTTCACATCTGAATTTCAGCCTTTATACTAGAATCGAACAATGACTTTCTTGCTCTATCACCTCTCCTCTCATTCTATTGCTCGGTTTTTTCGACATGCTAATTGCTACTTAACAATAGAGATGGCATTGGCAATGGATACACATAGGCCAATACTTTAAAATATTTAATCTATTATGGTACGATTTTAGATTAGATACACTATCCACCTATACTTTTCAGCCATTGAATCAGCCGCAATGCTAACTTGTCTCTCGTAGAACCATGTTCAAGATGCCTCCACAGCCAACTCTATCCATTACTCGTCTTTGGACACTCCATTGTGTGGCACTCTGTCGGTGTTTCGCAAACCGGACTAGTAAATTTATACAATTGCCGTGCTGCTATAGAAGACGATGGTAGCATCCAATAGATATGATGATTTATACTGGTTCAGGCCAAAGTCCTATGTCCAGTCTTAGAGAAGATCGAGTGCGTGTTCCTCGCTTAAATGCTCTAAAGTTCTTACAATGGGGGGTGCAAGAATGGTGAAAGAGGTGGTAGAACCTAGCTAGATGAGTGGCAGCCCGAAGAGAACTCTAAGAGCCCTACTGCTATGGATGGAATGGTAGAGGATGAAGAATGTGAAGATGTCCAAAGATGGGAGCCCTGGCTGCCCTTATACAGAGTTTGGGGCCAGGGCTCGTTACAAAGAGGAGGTTTCCCCGACCGAAGGGTCGAGAGCCTGAGGGAGGTCCAAGCTAACTTGGCTTGCAAGCTACGCCGTCTTCTAATGCTCGTCCAGACATGGCTATCGTCATGGTCTTGTGGCCACATCGCGGCAGGGTCTGACGTGGTGCTACTATGCTGGCTATGGCAGCACTGTAGCCATGGTGATGGTTCGTCAGCTGTCGTATGCAACGCGGCATCCGTCATGGTCTTCGTTGTTGTCTCCAGATTCCTCGGGGCATCGTACCCATAGTAGATAGCCGCCCTTAGTCGTCGTTCACCTGGTCACTTCATGAGGCTGAGGGCCACGACTCCTATCGTTGGGGTTGGGGCTCTCCGCAAGTCGAGAAGATCTCTAGGTCGAGACCCTTGTCATGGATCCATTCCGTAGTGGGTACGATCGTACGCGCGTCCTATCGGTCCGTATTCCAACGATAGGTTTCGTACTCGTTGCCACCGTTGTGTGGTGTTGTCTCGTTGTTGCGGCGTGGCACAGAGATGGCGTCTGATCGGACCGAGGTGACTGTTGTCCCCTCGGTCCTTGTGAGGTCAGTGCGGCGCGCCTGCTCTTGTCAGAGCAGACATACTGAGTCGCGCTCGATCTCTCCCCGTCCTGCCCCTAGGGGTCATGATGGGGGAATGGTCGCGCATCTTTCGTGTGGCTAAGGTAGGAGAAGGGATCATGGCCGACCCTAGCCAAGGCGTTGGTTTGGCGTGCTTACCCTAGCTAGGCCTCGATCGTTCGGGCCATTGTTAACCCGATGAGTTGTGAGCTGCGTGGCCTGCCAACTAATCGACGCCTTGAGACACCCCGGGGTCATAACCCCAGCAGTAGCCCCCAAGCGTTTTTGCGATCACGAAGTGATCGTGAAAGCGCTGAGGTGTGTGCTTGTATGGAACATGGGCTCGTGGTCGTGGCCCACTCGAGCTTCGTTGCTTGACCCCTTGAGGGCTTGGTGTATTGTTGACATTTCTTAGCATCACTCTTTACTAAGTTGTCATCCCTAGCATAATGCCAGAAATGTGTGGTTGGTAATTATTAATGACACTAATAAACTTAGAGAAAATTATATATGTTAAAGTAAAGTATCTGCAAGCGCACAGATAATATACCATTGTAGCATTTCACCCGGAAGTATACCGAGTATCGTTATTTATATTTTATCCACAGGGAGGAGCTATGGGATTGTTGGCATAGAGATATTGACAAATATGTATACTTATGATAAAACCACTCTCATGCTATAGCAGGGGTAAGTCAAATGATAAATAAATGATAAGTGTGAAGCATTGATAATAATTCCAGAGATAGAAATAAAGACTCATAAAATGTAGTATGGCTAGACAGGAGATTCGGTAAAAGCAAAAGATTCCTAAGTCATTCCTTATTTACTAAGTTTTTGTACACCCAAGTATATGCACTCTCATCTATAGCATAATTAACTCTGGATCTATGCATAAGAAACATTACTAGGGGAGATCAAGAACAGAGCTTATCTCCCTTCGCAATCGTGTTCTACTTGCTCTATAAACGGGGAATGGACTACAAAGGACTCAACGGGAGTGTCACATCCGCGATCTACCACTATGACCCAGAGTGCGGAATGCATCCGCAGGTAAATAATATCTAAGAACCATGCTTACATAATGTCGGCCACTTAACCCATGCGCATCTTGAGCTAAGCGCTTTGCAAACATATGCATAAACTCATCATCAATCACAACTATATCGAGCATATAACTAGACCAAACTTGGAACATAATAAATAGCAACATAATATTGAAGTAGCACAAAGTCATAAATAAAGAGATACAATGGCTATACCAGTCTCCAGATGGCGGATCCAGAATCCTGAGCAATAGCCCACACTTTACTTGAACCTTGCTAGCTAGCCTATACTAGAACTTTGAAGAATTGGAGCTCTATTTTCTTCTCTCTGGAAACCCTAATTTCTGGTCTGATCTTGACTTATGGTAGCGTGTTCTAGAGAGAGGGGCAGAGGCTGGTTATATAGGCCAGAGCATCAATCATGAGCCCTCGGATCAAACCGACTTGACTAAATGACGTAGATGCAATCTAGGAGGCGGTGGAGAACCGACATTGCGACGGGGACTGACATGTGGGCCCTAGGGGCTAGGCAGCCTACATGTGGGGCCGGTCGGTCCTACCTGGCAGCCACTCGGGCTCCGCCTTGGTGTGGAGTCCTCTCAAGTCTTCTAAAACCTTCTGGTGTCTTTTTTCGCTGCGGATAAGCGTAATTAATTCCAACATGTAGGTCCACCTTAACGGTTTTATGAATAAACCCTACAAAAAATACAGATTCACCAAAACTCATAGAATTTATTAGTTTAAACCCCTAGACCTATGTTGGTGATCATATTTATGCCCTTATACATTTTTCATTGACAGTTTATAATGGTCGTTAACTACTGTCAACATGCATTCAGGATGGTAGTTGGACGTTGGCCCCATCCCGTCCTGTCTGTTGTAGTGATATGTGATTGCTGAACCTTGTCATGTCAGCGTGCAGCTCATTGGGGTCCATGACCCAAGCGAGGCCATGTGGTCTCGTTGACGCTGCATTGGCTTGACGCGAGAAAGCGTTTTCTCGACCTCTTCCTTCGTGGTTGCGAGATTTTTTGCGACCGTCCATCTGGCTCGTAGGTCTTGGACCTTTTGTCTCATCCACGTGATCGAGCCGTGATCATGCTTGGGGTTCCACATTGCGTGTCACCCCGCCTCTCGCTTTGTTAATCTCTCCCAGAGAGGTCACGGACCCCTGATGGTTTATGAGTCTCTAGAGTAGGCCTTAGGTCAGAGACCTAGGACGCATAGAGGAATTAGTCATGGCTTGGCCTTGACTTCTTTTCGGGGTCATGGGGACCCAACTCCATTTTTCCCTGGCATCCTTGTCGACCTTGAGAGGTCATGTTGCCTTGTTTTAGGCGGGTTTGGTTTTGCCCCACGCGGGGAGAGGCATGTCCACCGTAACCGCATGGTCGAAGCGGTGCGCCTCATCAAGGTCTATGGGTAATCCGAGCGAGACCTGATATCCTCCCTAATCAGCATGGAGTTCGGTTGTGCCTCACGTGAGACATCCCATAAATCATCGGCCGTCAATCCCATTGGTCCCCAACTGCCTCCGTCGTGGCCAGAGGGTAAGATGCCTCCCCTAGAGGGGGTCAACCCGGGAGGCTTCGAAGTGGATGACTCGGACATAGGGAGAGATGGTCATGTGGCTCTGCACCACCAATTAGAGCCATAGGGGCCCATCTCCTCCCTGCCTCTATCCCTTATGTGGCCTTGAGACCTTCTAAGGACTAGCCAAAGAGTGGGTTTCCTAAGTACGACATGGGGTCATGGATGCAAAGGGCCGCTCGACGTGTGAGTCTAGGGGGCTATCGACCTCCCCTGGCCACATCACGTCTTGGTGGTGCCCTCTTGTAGATGGTTGTGCACCATGAGGCGCGTGCGAGGAAATCGAAAGATGATGAAAGGTACGAGGCTTACTCGAGATACATTACCGTGTTGTTATCCGCTGCTTAGCCTTTCATCTGGCCACCTCCCTTGTGCTGCGAGAAAGCGGTTAGTAAATATTAGAGAAGACGCATGCATTCGATGTAC